GTAGACTTTGTTATTCACATTTAGGATGAAACTTTAAATGTCTCAGCTAATTTCTCACGACGTTTAGTTTTTATTCATAACCAAACCGACAACAACAACCGACAAAATTAGCACACTAGAAGTAGCAAAAACTTTATCACACGTGATGCCTGAAATCGGCAAACTTAAAGTTTTAGCTTAACACTGTTTTCAGTATGTGTGGTGGTAAGGGAAGAAGAAAATAGCGAAAATTTGCAACATCTAATCCGTTAAAACAAATAAATTTTTGAATAATTTTTTTACTGTCAACTATCGCCATTATTTAGTTTCTCCCAAAAAAACTTTCTTTAAATGTTGCGACGAATTTTAACGATACCCAAATCCCTACTTGATTTGATTATTTCAGAAAAAAAAGTCGTGTGATAGACGAAAAAACCACTCAACTATACCTTCCAAAAACGTACTGATACCAATACCCATAGAATGGTAAAACGAACGTTCTTGAGGCTCTTACACTGAGCAGATAACGGTGTTTTATTAGCATACATTTAGTTTCAGGAAACTTTTCGTACCAAAATTATTTGAAGCTTTGAACAAATTCTTTTGATATTTGATCATTAATTATTACCATAGTCTGTACACCAATTCTTTGCAGAAGCTAGACAGTAGCATCTGAGCACTGAAGTAATAAACCGACATCGTTAGTGTTGGGTGAAACTCACTACACTTTGAACGCAGCAACGAAACAATTTTAGAATGTAAAAAAATACTAACCCCAAACGCCAACGGCTCGAGGAATAGTATCCAGAAAAAGTGTGCAAAAACATGATATTCCAACTGTCCAAGACATTTGATACTGTTGTACATTCATGCCCATTGATTGCTAAAGCAAAAAACAATTGGTTCATTATTTAAACTTTTTTTCAACCACATCATATTTTATAATAACGGTCTACAAAGTAAAGAATAAAACTAGAAAAAAAAAGAAAAATAAAAAATAGCAAAAACTTTTCTTTCTTTTCTACCACTTAACTAACCATATCAGCACTATGTGCCCATAATTTTAGCGAAATTGGGACATACATAAGTACGCTAAAACCGGATGCAGTACTTGACAAATACTTAGACGCTTGATAAGTTACAGGCGATATATAATGTGTGGTACATAACATAGACGTCGTATTCATCGTTGGCATTGGATAAAATGCCGTTATGCTACCAAATAAAACTGAACAAAAATA